AGCCAAACGGTCACGAGCTGTGTCACACGGGCAGCCGTTTTAGAGTCTCAGACACCCTGAGAGTCGTTCAGAGGTTAGTTCTACGTCCTTATCTCCACATCAGTTTTTTATCTTGTGTTTTGGAATCCCAGAAAAGGAGCCAGAGATTCAGTAATCCGTTGATAATTAAGGTGATCTATGATCCTACTTCTGAAGACAGACCAAAACTTAAGAAGATGTTCCTAAAAGAACTGTAGCCACACTTTCTTAGTTTCCATCAGAATGATACATAATCATCCTCCTCCCTTTATTTCCCTTTAAACACAGAGTACACGTTTGTGTTCAACTTCCCTGAATCCATTCAGCAGTAAATATTCCTGCCACAGAGTTGTAACAGGCTAGATAAGGTGCTATCCTGACAGCAGTCACCTTCTCTGCTGGCTGGTTTCTATGATGCTTCTAAAACTGTCAGGGCAGAGACTTCATCTTAGAAGCCAATCTCTGTTTCATCTTTGTGCATGTTCAACGCAGCGATGGCGATGCCTTTCTTGGAGATGAGCTAAAGTCGTATCTCAGATCTACATTTGAAATTTTCACTTTCAAATCATCTGGCCGTATATCTAAAAGTAGAATGTTGAATTGAACGTTGTCAGAGTCTTGAAGTTCTAAGGAAAGACGAAAAAATGGGGTTTGGCATTGCCCTCTTGGGTCCGTCCTTTCTGGATGACAGTATTTAGAGAAACGGGAAGGTACAGTATGTACCTGCCTTAACCGGTTAAAAGAAGATCAGATTGTGGGGAAGAGTATGAAAAAGGAGAAAGCACCAGGGCTCTTCAGACCTAAATGAAGAAGCCTCATTTTGCTGAGTTCCATTCTTGAGCCTTTCTACCACTCTTACCTAGCATCTTCCTTTGTTCTCTCTGACAACTCAGAAATCTGTACCCACACAAACATGGTCGTATGAAAAGAACACCTACTTGGGTCTGAATCCCGGTTCTGCCCCCCACTAGCCTTGGGGAGGCTGCTCTGCCAAGTCCATTTACTGATCTAAAATAAGGGTAGTGAGCCCTGCCTTCCAGGAATTTAAAAGCACTTAGACCTCTGTCTGACACATAACAAGCCCTCGGTAAGCACTCGCTGCTCGCCCTAGGTGGATAGATGGTGGCTGCAGTGGTTTTTATTCAGACTGCCTCACACGATGCCTCGTGTATAGCAATCAATCAAAAACAATACCATCTGCCGATAGCTAGGATCTAATAAGCAAAAAAACACACTCCCTTACTCCTTTCTAACCTTTCTTTTAGTGATACGGATACTCCACTGTTGCTCTGCCTCATGCTCGCCAGGTTGACTTTTCTAGGCCTCGATCCATGCTATTACTCAACCTGCTTAGAATATCCTTTCCAGCGTGTCAGGCACCTTTCAGAATCCACCTCAAGTGGACATCTCCTTCGAAGTCTTTTGACCCCCCAGACGTGGCGTGTCCTTCTCCTGGGTTCCCAAGGCACTTGGTACAATTTGAGAGGTCCATGATAATAGTCGTTACTGCATTTTTAAAAATTAATAATTTGTTCATATTTGTCAACATCATGAAGCCGTAATCTCCTTGATTATGTAGACCACTTTATTTATCTTTGCCACCCACCCCCAGCACACCATACGATACCTGGCCCATGAGTTGGTGTTCAGGAAATCCTGATCAGGTAGATGAATGAAATGTGTTCCACTCCCAGTTTCCATGTTTGCAAACCTCTAGAAGTTTCGTCACCTCTTCTCTCCTCTCCTCCCCTCCATCTGATCTCCTCCTCACACAGGCCGCTGATACTCTGGCTTCCCAGCCGTGTGTTCTGCTTGCCTCTCGGGGCTCTAAGCCAGCGTGTCCATCATACAGGTGTTGTGCAGTCTCGTTACATTTTCCTGCACAGTGTGGCCTGCAGCCCATTGTGTCCCACCTCTCTGGCCAGCATTCCGGCCTCCCACCAGCTGGCCCTCCAAGGTCCCGGCCCTCACGACTCCCTGATGTTTCCCTGTTTCCCTGTCCACAAGAATCTTAGCACACACAGCTCATTAAACAGCACTGAACTTTTACCTGCATTTCTTTCGATCCTGACAGATGCTTTCTAAGAGCCTTCTGTGCCCAAAGTGCCATGCAAGGTGCTTTCTAGGATACAAAGAAGAGTAAAACTCACCACTTGCTTTCAAGGCGCCTACACAGGAAAGAGGCACCCATCTGAAAAACTGTTCAAGGCAGGTCACGGGAGGTGCCATAAAAGAGGTATAAATCCAAGTCTTAGGGGTTTGACAGACTGAAAAATGCTAGTATCTAGTTGGAAAACTTTTCAAGCTGGAAAAAGTTTTCAAAGATGCCAAGAAAACTTTTGAAAGGAATATCACGTTTTAGACTTTGAATATATTATGATAGTGTTTGAGTGGTGGGGAAAGTACCAACATTACAAGCAGAGATGAAGAAGCCAGAAAGTGGAGGGCAGGCCAGTCTGTGCTATGCATGAAGAGGAGAGTGGGGGGGCTGGCGAGCAGAGAGCATGAACAGCGTAAGGCCTCAGATCCCCGGAAGGCCGTCATCCTTAGGCCTTCATTCTGCTGTCCCTCTCGTGAACCTTGAAACCTTACCCAGAAGTCACTTCTCCCCAGACTCCCTCCCATCTTAACCAACCCTGATAGGCACCTGCCACTTGTAATTGTTTGTAACTTGAGCGTGCAACATATGCCTTTACTTTCTGGTCATTTCCTGTGCCTCTGTGACCTCCCCAGACAGCCTACTTGTCCGTGACCAAGAAGACCAGGGCCTCCCCTTTACCTCCGTTTTTACTCTTCTTCTGCCTAATGCTTAGATTGGCATCCTTGCCACTGGGCGCTTAGCTGGGCTGGGATCTGAACGCTTGGCATTATGTTAATCATTTCTACCTCAGAGGTGATTCAGACAGGATTCCTGTCCCCAGGGAGTCCATATTCTAGTAACCGGTAATTATGTAATTATGAGCAACCTACTTAACCTCTGTGTGCCTTGGATTCTAATTTGTACAATGGGATTAATAATCCCTTCCCTGCTCTCTTTAAATTTGGTAGTAAGGACCATATATATAATAACACTTTAAACTCTACAGCATTACAGAAATGTAAAGTATTAGCAGCAAATGCTTTTTGCTTGAGTGGAAGTCAGGAGTAATTTTGCTTCCTGTGTCCCCAGCTGCTGAACACTTAGGCGTTCTGGAGCAGGAAGTTATGATTATGAGTAAATGAGAAACTAAAGAGACCCTTCTATTTTTAAACTCCTTGGACATCAGTCCAGTGCTCCATGACTACCTCGTGAACATTAACACTATTACCAGATTACCGAGGAATTTGCTACTAAATGAAGCTAGGAATTAGTGGTGGTGATTTGCCAGACAGCATAGCCCTCCTTTGCCTCAGACAGAGGCCTTTAGGAGGGAGATGAAAAGTAGCCTTGTGTTGCTACAGGCCGGCCCCTTGGGCAAATAAAGGAGTGCATTATCTGCGTCTAAATAGTCTCTGAAGGATCTTGTTGGAGATTGATAACCAAGTGGTAAGTCCTTCAAGTTTGGGAGAGTGGAAAGCGGGGTCCCAAGGGCTTCTGTCAGTGACAGGAGCCTGAGTTGTCAGAGGGAACTATGGCCATAAAACTACTGACGGAATTAAGAAATGGATTGTTGTCATCAAAAGCATGTATCAAGCACCTGTCTTCTCAAACCAGTCTGCCAGTCGCGCAGAATGAGTCCCTCACCCAGTTCTTACTCCTGAGAGCTGACAGCCCAAAACAGAGATGTCTTTTCCCTTTCATTCACCGCGTGGATGTTTACTGAGCGGGGACATGAAGACAGAATTCAGTCCCTGCTTTCCCAGAGTTCATGGTCCACCCTCATGAGACGGAGGGAGCTGCAGGTGGGAGTTATCAACAGAGGGAGGTGATGGTGCAAATGAGTGTGAGCGTGATGTGTGAGAAGAGGTCGTGTCAGGGAGAGGCGTGTTGAGGTGCTCTCGGGAACTCGGAGAGGAGCAGTGGCTAGCCTCGAATAATCAGGAAAGGCTTTGTGGTAGAGGGCGCGTAAGACAGTGCTGGCTTCAGAGATAGCCAGGAATCCCAGGGAAGGAAGACGGCAAAGGCCCTGAGGTGGGGAGAGGAACTCTGTGGGCAGAGGTGTTAATAATCCACCAGTTGGGGGGGTTAGGGGCGGTGGTGATGAAAATGTCCCGCAGCAATTGCAATGGTTGCACAGCTCTGAATATACTAAAAGCCAGCAGATTGTACACTTTAAATGGGCAGATTGTATGGGTTGTGCGTTGTATCTCAATAAAGCTGTTCAAAAAAGAGAAAAAAAATATCCACTGGAGAGGAATAGATTTGGGGACAGCGAATCTGCTAGGTCTGGGGTTGCCGCGGGTGAGGAAAGAGACTCCTGTCACTCCTTGGGACTTGGCCTGGGGGAGTGCCCACTCGTGAGCGGAGCGGAAGGGGCGGCAGCGTTTGGCTACTGGCGCGGCGTGAGGGACGTGCACGTGAGGGTGGCTGTGACATCAGTGTCACCAGGGTAGCAAGACGGAGTTGTGGAGAAAGGGCCTCTCCTCCCGAGTTTCACCTGACTGGGAAGGGAAAGAGAGTTCTGTACATCTTCTGGGGGTGATTTGCAGAGGCCGGAACCACAAAGGAAAGAATGAGTGGAAGCAGATACACAGCTGAGATTTGTGTCCCCGTCAGCTTGTTTGTTTGTTTGTTTTTAAGGTTGAATATGTGGATGAGATCATTTTGGCCTTGACTCATTGCACAGAAAATACTGGGCTTTAACCTGACCCCCTGGGTCTCCAGTCCATTAAAAATGAAGACATAAGAAGGGTACTTTAGGATATAGTGGGGGAGGAGGAGGAGACACATCCGAGGCAGAATGGTCTTCTGTTGTTGCCGTTGTTCTTTTATATGTTACAAGCCTGCCGTCTATCCCTGTTCACCGTCCGGCTTTTATTCCCAAATGCTCATTCATTTCCAGGACATGGTCCGGCGTGGGGAGATCATAGACAACGACACGGAGGACGAGTTCTACCTCCGGCGCTTGGACGCGGGGCTCTTTGTCCTTCAGCACATCTGCTACATCATGGCGGAGATCTGCAACGCCAGTGTGCCCCAGGTAGGAGGGCCTGCCGTGCCCGGGCCTGGCTGAGCCTGCCTCCCTCCTGGCCCCCTCCCGGGGCAGAGACTCCAAGAAAGAAGCCGATTCACTCTCCTTGGCTCCCTGTACTCCCGGGGGCGGGGCGGGGGGGGGCCCTCTTCTTCAGGGGTGGGCGTGAGGTGCTTACTTGCTACACGATGTATGCCGGCGTCTGCAGGGACAAACGGTGCTTTTCCTTTCTCTCCCCTCTCTTCCCCTTCCTCATAGATTCGCCAGAGGGTTCACCAGATCCTGAACATGCGAGGGAGCTCCATCAAGATCGTCAGGCACATCATCAAGGGTGAGTTGGGTGCTGCTTGTGTCTGGGGCTCTGGGAGAACTAGGTGATGCTTACTTCTTGAGTCTCTGTCGTTACCCCTGGATTTTGGTGCACAGCATTCTCGGCACTGCAGGCTTAGGTGTGCCGTCGTGTTCCCCGTGTGTCCAGGTCGTCTTTGTCAGGATACCGAAGACTAGCCTGCGCGTTCTGTACCTCTGACCCTTCACTTCCAGGATTTAAAAGATGCTTCACAAATCAGAGACAGCAGTGCTCAGAAACATTTGTTAAAAATTAAAAAGAAATAAGACAAAACACGAAACAAAAACTCCCACTTCCAAACTGTGTGCCGTGGAAGGAAATTGCTTTCTTGGGAGAAAGAAAACAAGGAAGTAACAGGAAATACCCGGAATTAGGCAGGACAGAAGGATGTGAGGCTTAGGTACTGTGGGGGAGCAGAAAGAGCATAGCTGCCTTCCCGCCTTGGCTCTGCCTTCCCCAGCTGTGCGAATGTGACTTAGAAGAAATTTTGCAAAGGCTCAGGAGATACGACGTGACCGCGTCCGGTCTAGCGCTCGGCTCTCAGATAGTGCTCTTGTCAGGTGAGCATCCCTGCTTCCCTCACCTACCCCAGGGAGTCAGTGCCTCCGATGCCCTTCCATCTTTGGGACCTCGCTCAGCTGGAGTGGCTCCCCAGGCCTCCTTTGCTGGGCAGGTTCCCAATCACAAGGGTACCCGAACTGGACTCGGGTGCAGCCGCGCCCGCCGGCCACTTAGCCCCGACTTACACGCATGGCAGTAGAGGCCCGTATCAGGCTTCGAGGAACTGATAATGACAGAGTTCAGGGAGAGCCCGGATGGGCTGGTAGCTGCGGGCAGATTTTTACTTTCCCTCTCCGGCCCTCGTTCTGCCCATTTCCAAGGTGAGGGATTAGGCTAGATTTACTCAAGGGTGTTGCCTGTGGTGGCCTATAACTCCCATTACAGGTGGGAGATGAAAGGTGAGGATAAATGGTACATGTAATAAAGTGAAGAGAAGTTAGGAGCCATGGTCTCTGGGATCCGGCTCCCGGAACTGAATCCTGGCTCTCTTCCTTACTGTGTTACCTCAGGTGAGATACCCAGTTGCTCTGTGACCTCATAGGATGAGTGAGAAGATGAAAAAAGATGATAGATTGAAAATGTCTGACCCTCAGTAAGTCCTCTGTAAATGTCAGCTATTATGAGTATTATGAAATACGGTGATGATAATTGTCATCGTCATTATAATAAGTGAGGCCTGGCTCAAGTCCTACGGAAGTCTTGTGAAAGTGGCATCGAGCTGGGTCTTGGAGGCTGAGACGAGGACGACTCAGATGTGGGAGCTGGAAACCCCATGTTTAGCCCAGCCGCCCCATGGGGCCATCGTGTCTACTTTGCAGGTGGAGAATTTGAGGTACTGGAATCTATTGTTTTCTCTCCCAGAGAAAGAGGAAAAGCCGTTCATGAACCGAGCCCAGCATCCTGCCTTCCGCAGTGGCATCCCGGGTGCTCCTTCTCAGCGTCTCGTTCGCATGAATTACTGCTCAGCATGTCCCGCCGCCTCCTCCCTAAGGTGTAGCTGTGGTGATTTGCAGCTCCAGCTTTTAAATGGCATTTACTTTTAACGCCCACTTGTTCAATTAGAACTTTTTATTGCTCTCTGCTCTCCTCTCTTACGCTTAGGCTCCTCCCTGCACCTCCATCCCTGTAATCAAAACAGGGATCTTCTGAGGAAGAAAAGGTGTTTTTAACGGGTACTGACACGTAGTAGGTGGGTGTTTTTCTTTGTGAAACCCTAACACGTATACCTGAGGTTATCCGGAGTGGCCAGCCTCGCGAGCCAGCCTCTGCCTCCCCGGGATCCAAGTCCAGCCCCCCCGATGCCTCGTGTACGCACAGGGTGCCGAGTGGAGTTTCGCTGATTGAGCGGCCTGCACAGATGCCACTTTCACTTCCGCCACCCTTGGTCCTCTCCTCTGTTGCTTTCTTCCGCCACAGCCCCAGGCCAGCCCTCAGTCCTCCCTCCGTGGCCCAGCCCCGCGGTGGGGGGGGGGGGGGGGGGGGGGGGGGGGGGGGGGGGCAAATTGGGCTGCCTCCCCACACCATCTTGAATCCGCGCCGTCCTCTCCATCTGTTCCTTCCCATCAGAGCACCCAGTTTATTTCCTCTCTAGCCCTTATCACAGTCTGTAATTGTTTTTATTTATGTCTTTGTTTACTCGCTTTGTGTGTCTCCTACGTTAAAATGGAAGCTCTGTGACGTAGGGACATTGTCTGGCCCGTTCACCCGTGTCTCCTCAGCACCCAGAGCAATGTGGGGCGCGTGATGGGAACCCAGTGAATATTTTACATACAGTCGAATTCGGCCCTACCCCGGGGCACATTTCATTTGGCTAATGTTTGCCGACACTTTCCTCAAGGCTAAGCACGGTGCTAGATACTCTGCTGCCGTGTCACAGAGCACCTGCCCTCATGGAGTTTATAGTCTTCGAGGGAACGTAGACGCATAGGTGACCAGCCATAATTCAAGCCGAATGAAACACACGCTCCAACAGCTACTCGGTGGCACTGCTGGGTGCCGGGCTCTGTGTTCAGGACTAGAGGTGCAAAGAATAAGCAAGGGCTGCATCTTTGAGGCGTTCACAGTCTGGTGGGGAGAGCTACGCGAAACTAATTATAACGTGGTAAGTGCTAGTTGAAGTTGCGAACGGTGTGCTAACGGGGTGGTAAGGAGCAGTACTGGAGTCCCAGGCCTTACTGTGGAATCCCACGGAGGGACAGGCTCCTCCCCAGGACTGGGACTGTGTCCTAGAGGGACAGGCACATCCCAGGCAGAGAAAGCAGAGGCCCAGGGGTAAGACAGGACATCGGTGACTTGTGTAAGGAATATAGAGGGGATACTTAGGGCGCCCCTGCCCAGGTCAAAGAGGCTCTCACAGGACACTGACCACTTGAGAAAACCAAATCCCTGTTCTCTCCAGATGGAAGGTTAAGAGTAAAGGATTCTTGACCCCAGTTCCACCTGCGTGCCCCCGCCCTGGCTCGCTCCCTCTTCGGGAAGCCCTCCGGCCTGTGGTGTTGGGTGTTAGACCTGAGCCCTGTGGCCTGCCTCCCCGTAGAGCACCCAGGGTAGTGTTGAGGTCGGAAAGGGGTCAGGCTACCACGGGGAGTGGCGGCTAGGCTCTGCTCAAGCCCTCCCTCAAAGGCCTTCACTCCCTCCCCCTTCTTCCTCCACCCTTCACTCCATCAAAAAGCATGAAAAAAACAAAGCCTCGTAGAGAAAACCAGCTCATCAGTCTGTCCTCTTTGATTTTAATTTTGTTTTTCAGTTTGGGTTGCTTCCTTTTTTTTTAACATACTAATTAGATGCAAGCTTTTTCTTTGATTTTATGGCCTACATATTTCCTAAGTTTTGCTGGCAGGATGACAGCTGATGTATCCCTTGAGGTCTCAGGAAAACGCTGATGAGGCAAGCCCAGCAGGGGACTTTTCCCCTTGTATCTCAGTCCCTTTCTCATGATTTTCCTCCCTCCTTTTCTATTGGGGGTGCCAAGAGAGCTGGGAATAATTGATGGCTCATTAAAGTCCCTCTTTCTGCAGACTGCTTACTCGGCGCTCCCAAAGTCCAGCCTTGCCTGGAGCTGGCAGCGGTTCCGGGCCCGAGGACTGTGGTGCCCACATAGGAGATGATAGTCTCCTTGCTGAAGAAGGGCAGGCCACACCATGTACTCTGCCTGGGCGGTGACAGTCTTCCTGCCTTTCGTCTTGTGCCTGGCCCGTGACCAGTGCAGAGCAGGGGCTCAGTTAATGCTTCCTGGGGGCACGCGCTGAGGTAGTGCTTCTGGCTTCTTTGTGCTGTTCCAGAAATCCAGGACCACAGTAGGTAGAGTGGTTGCCCCCAAGCACGTCCTCTGTACTCCTGTGTGCCAGGCTTTTCGTGTATCTTCTCTGGTTCTCACAACTGTCCTAGGAAGCAGGATTACAATCTCCATTTTACAGATAAGAAAACCAAGGCTTACGGAGGTTAAGGGACATTACCCGAGTCGCTAGTGATGTTGGAGACTGGATCGAAACTCAGAACTATACACAGTCGGTTTTCCATTTGGCAGAAAGAAAACCTCTAACGTTGTGGATTGCCTGATGCAGTCTTACCATCTTTTAAAAAGAAAATTTAGGGCGGCTGCCTTTATAGAGCACCTGCTTGGCGTCACAGGGCACTGGGTGGGCTCCTGAGATGAATGAGACCCTTAGTAGGGCCTTTCCCCAGGGGCACACAGTCCTATCACAGGTGAAGAAACTAATCACTACACAAAGCAGAATGAAGTCCGTGCTAAGACAGAGTGTGAATCACGAAGGCACAGTTAATGCTGCTGCACCTTAAAAGGAGCCTAAAGATCCAGAGAGGCTGCACAGAGGAGGCACTTTTTTTTTTTTTTTTTTTTTTTTTTTTGGTGGTAGTGGTAAAGTATTGGTCAGATTTACCATTGCGACCATCACCACCGTCTGTCCACAGAATTAATTTCCATCTTGCAAAACTGAAACTCTGTACACCCTCACTCCCCATACTCTCCTCCCCCCAGTCCCTGGTAGCCACCCTTGTACTTTATGTCCCTATGAAGCTGACTGGCCAAGAAGGTGGCTTGTGGAAGCACGTGAAGGCCCTCTGTGGGCAGATGCGGGTGTCCATCATCGCACAGGCATCTCCTTGGATGCGGCCTAGGAACTGTAACCCGGAAGTACCTTTTAGTATAAATACTTGTGCCAAGGGTTACCGTGGAAGCTGCGGGCCAGGTCTCTTCAGTGTCATAGTCACTGATGAAAGTTGCCGGAGGACCACGTGGCTGCTGGGCTGCTGTGCCGGGGAGAGCTCAGAGGATTCCTGACTCAAAAACTCTTTCATTGGTGGCAGAAAGACGGAGCCCAAGACTTCAAAATGCTTTCAGAAATTGGCTCCTGGCCCTTTGATTTGCTTTTGTTCTTTATGGCTTGAAATCTCCTCTAGAAGCTCCTAAACATGTATTTCCATTTGATTTGGGGCTCTCGGTAGCCTGAGCGTTGTCTGCGATTTTGAAACTGCAGAAGCTGGCAGGATTTCTCTTTTGATGACATGTGGGTGTGTGTGTGACTTGTACCAGGTCATGGCTACTATGACCACTAGGGCGTTTGGAGTCAGGAGAGAATCCTGGAGAGAGGCCTGCATTTAACCTTCGGCAGCTACTTACTTTTTCCAAGCCACAGTCCTTCGTCTGTGAGATGGAGATAACCTGCCTCAAAAGGTTCTGTGTGGATCAGGAGAGGTACCGTACGCGTAGTGCGGACGTGGGGCTGGCACATAGTACGTGCTTGATAAACATTAGCTACCTTTACTGTTGCCATCAGTGTGTGAGCCCTTCCAGCGATAAATAGATCTGAGACACACAGACCGGCATGATTCTGTCTGTGTAACTTTGGGTAAGTTAGTAGATAATACGTTTGAGCCTGTTTCCTCTCTGTGAAAAACAAACCTGAAGTGACTATTGTCCCTCGGGAAGGCTGAAGTTGAACTACAGTCAGGTGCCTGGGACAGAGTACGTGCTCAGCAAATGGAGGCTCCTTCCTTCCAACTTCCTTGGCCTGATCCTTTGACCTGGAGCTCGCAGCAGCCTGGACTCGGGGGCGGGCAGGAAAGCCGGTGGACCAGCACCCAGACCAGACTCCTCAGGGCCTGGTGGCGGGGGACACTTTTCCAACCAGATGACCCTGTTCACATGATGAGCAAAGGATATGTTTCTTTCTCCTTTAAATGGGTTTCATTTTAATGAAACCCCTGATGTCCCGTTGCTGCAGATAAGTGTTCTTCTCCTAGGGAAGCGTGGCATCAGACCTTCCAAGTTCATCGTTGTCATTAAGGAAGGTGTTAGACATGGAGTTTCCTTTCCCAGGTCCTCGTCTGTGGTGATGTCTGTGTCTTCCAGAGTTTTCAGTGTGAAAATATTCTGGGTATCCTTCTTCCCTCCCCTTCCCTCTTCGTCCTGCATTTTTTAAAAGATGAGCAGTTAAAGCTTAGGGTTCAGGGGTCTGAAGCAGGCTTGTGAGCACGGCCCAGGTCCCTGTCCTGAAGACACTTATCCCCATCCGCCAGCCCAGGCCCCTCCCTCTCCCTCTTAACATAAACAGAACAGCTTGTATTCCATGTCTGAAGAGTAAACCTGCTGTCTGAAGTTTGCTTTAATATTTATGCGTTCAGCACTGCTGCCTGTTTTTGAGCTCCATCAAAGCCTTTATTATAAGAACATTTGAAAATGCTGGGGAAGTGGAGAATGGAGTTGAGGTGTGCACCCTCTTTCTCACTCTCCCCAGCCGACTCACCCTCTTCTCTCCCATTCTCCCGCCACTCATAGTTCCCCCTCCATCTAGCATCTTTTTCCCGTACTCACTCTTCCCCTCTTAGACACACACACACACACACACACACACACACACACACACGCACACACGCAAAGAGAACTCTTCCCCAAGACCTCTGGGAGGAATCTGTTCAATATTTATAAACTGCTGCGGCAGCTATAATAACCAGAGGTAGCTGGCACCACCCAGATTTGCTCCAAATAGGATTCTCCTCTGGAAACAAAGAAGGAGCAGGGGTAAGGGGCAGAGGGCGCAGGGCACAGCCGCTGCCGGCTGCCAGTGGCAGTGGAGGAACATGAGGGCCTCGGCAGACCTGGCTCCGGGCCTGGCTCCGTGGCTGGCTTGCTGTGGGACCCTGGCTGGTCACCTGCCCTTCAGAGTTGTCCTACATTTCTGAGAGCTCTGCAGTTCTGACATTCTGACCCGCTCCACATCTGGGGCCAGTGAGGCCCTTTCCCACGGGACGTGGCGTCTAGAGACGTACCCTTAGGAGGACTTTGTAGCCAGAAGCCCTGTGGGGCTGGACTGCTTTGGAGTACTCACAGAGCAGTGTTTCCCCCAGAGGATGGGGAGCAGCAGGGTGGGATGTTGCTTAGGTGAGAGGATGCCACTTTGGGAACTGGCTCCCCCCAGCTCTTTTAGGTGCCTTTTTCACACACGTTTTGGGTTGAATTTCAGCTTCCCTGCTGTCCCGGACTTGGGGCGGTTGCCCCAGTTCTCTAACACGCCTCAGTTTCCTTGTCTGCAAACAGAGATGGCTTCCATCCCTGCGGGATGGCCGCAAAGATCAGGCGAGCCGCCGGACGTCCTTGCCCGGCACATGCTGTGTGGGAGACACGCTGCACCTGCACTGTTCACAGCCCGTTTCTAGGGAACAGCTACTCCGGTGGTTTCGTCCTTCCCCACAGAGAGTGACGGGAGGCCGGCCGTCTGAGGGGTGCTCTGTGCGCTGCGGTGGCTTGTGTGCTTTCCAAGGCCTGTATCAGCAAGGGCGCTGATACAGACTTTGGTTTCCTTTACCGTGTGGGTCTCTAGAAAGAGATTAGGTCCCTACAGGGAAGCTGGCTTGACTTGGAAAATCACTGCCCCAGAGGGTCAGACTGTTTCTCCGCTTCCCTCCCTCCTGGGTCTGAGAATACATTAGGAGAGCAAAGTGTTAGTTCAATCCATTAAGACTCCTGCTTCCAGACCATGCCTCTGGGGGTATTAAATGCTGTAATGGTCACTTCTGTCTCTCCTGGGGCAGCGACTAGATCATTCACACGTGAGTAAGAGATAGCATTTATGTAAAGCCCCGTAGCTGTCTCCGCAGCCCAGATCCTGCTCTCCCGTCACCCCAGCCCTCTCTTTAAGAGGCCTTAATAGAAGGCATCACAACCATTTGCTAGTGGAGGTGATGGATGCATCTAACGGAAGAGGATGATTTCCAGGGGGAGACACACAGCTGGCACATGTCTGAATCCCAAATCCCGTTTTCCGGCACATGTCCAAAGTAATAAAGAGGAAGGAGGAAAAATGAAGAAGTGGCAGGAGCAGAATTATTCCCCAGCGGGGGGGGGG